TGTTACTTTGGTTGAATAGGTAACTAAGTATTATTTCACAATGACCTGTGATCCTATTTAATTAAGTGGTGTTTTGTTTTGTTTTGAGAGAGAGGAGGAGGGGGAGAGGGAGAGGGAGAATCTTAAGCAGGCTCCATGCCCAGCACAGAGCCCGATATGGGGTCAATCGCTCGACCCTGAGATCATGACCTGAGCCGAAATCAAAGAGTCGGAGGCTTAACCGACTGTGCCCCTCAGGCGCCCCTAATCAAGTGACTGAAACCTTTTGACATTTTTTACAAACTTCCCAAAATCAAATTCTAAATGAGGTCTTTTTGACTTCGAACTAACTTTGGGGTATTCCCAAGGCTCCCTGGAAGATCTGTTTTTTTTCTCTCCTTATAAAAATGGAGACATTGAATTATAAATTTCTCAAATGTTAAATTGCATGGGAAACATTATCAAGTAAAGGGGATGCTTAATCTTCTTAGACTGTATTTGTATGGATATATGTTATTAATATAAGTGTTCCAGAAATTGCATAGAACTCCTAGGAATCTGATATGCCCTGATATAATGTTATCAGTTATTTTTAAATGTTGTATGCCACAGGAATAGCCAAACTTACCTGTCAATCACATCTTTTTTTTTTTTTTTTTACAGTGAACTCTTTAAGGCTGTTTTTAAGTCTTTTGTCATTCACAGACAGTTGTTTTACACTTAATTCTTCTATGAAAACATTTATAATCAACTACAGGCCAGAATGCTTTGTTTTCAAGGAGATTCATAGAAAAGACACTGACATATACTCTAGAAGTTTCTGATAATTTTAAGATCATACGACTTAACTAGGTAAGAATTTCTAGCATGCTATGGAGAAACTGATTGATCCATAAAACTGCTAACCCAAGAGCAAGAAAACAAGAATTGATTACATGGAACTAAACTCATGGAGATGATTATAATTTTTATGACATTGTTTGCAACATTTTTGGTTCTTTACTGTTTTACTCTCCAAATTTAAAGAACCCCTTTTCTCCTATGAAGCCACTATGTAACTTATAACAATTTGGTAAACTTTTGTAAACAAAGATTAAACATTTATCTTTTTCTCCCTACCTGATCCCTTCAGAATTCAAAACAAAACAAAACAACAACAAAAAACCCTTATTGAGTGTACGTATTTTCATGGCAGTATAGGTATTTGCATAAATTCAACAAGAATTTATTCTCTTTGTAACAGGACACAATTGGACAAGCCCTTGGCTTGGCTTCTTGGCCTGAGAAGGTGTTTAAACATCTAATCCGAGATTTCTAATTACCAGATGGTTTTTAAGAAGCTAAGGTTGATTTGTGGAGCCAATAAAACCCTTTGAGTTACCAAAGCTTGGACTGGAATATCATATTTGAACATATGCATAAAATCACTATTCTGCTGCACTTATATAAATAACAAGCTGAATTTAATGAGACTAAACTTGTTTTACAATTATATTGTGATTATCTTTGGTAAAAACGAAGTGACTAGGGGCACCTGAGTGGCTCAGTCGTTAAGTGTCTACCTTCGGCTCAGGTCATGATCTCAGGGTTCTGGGATCAAGCACCGCATCGGGCTCCCTGCTCAACAGGAAGCCTGCTTCTCCCTCTCCCACTCCCCCTGCTTGTGTTCCCTCTCTCGCTGTGCCTCTCTCTATCAAATAAATAAATAAAATAAAAACAAAAAACAAAAAAAACCACGAAGTGACTATAAGAGAGAAAAGTTGTTTCTTTTTTTTTTTTTTTTTTAAAGATTTTATTTGTTTATTTGAGAGAGAGAGAATGAGACACAGCACATGAGAGGGGGAGGGTCAGAGGGAGAAGCAGACTCCCTGCTGAGCAGGGAGCCCGATGCGGGACTCGATCCCGGGACTCCAGGATCATGACCTGAGCCGAAGGCAGTCGCTTAACCAACTGAGCCACCCAGGCGCCCCGAAAAGTTATGTTTCAATAGAAAACTATAGTATACCTATTATCAGATTCTAGTCCTGTTCATTATCTTTGAGGTTTTGTTATCTATCTGTAAACTCAACTGGTCCTGAATTCTTCCAGTTTCCTCCAACACCTGGCTACAGCTTTCCAAACTAACATTTCCAATTTTCTCTCACCATTCTGACTTGGAATAAAAACTAAAATTGCCCTTTAACCCAAGCCCTACAACCTAAAGCCAGACAACTTGATATAAATCTCAGAGATATCACCACAAGAGATCATGTACAGACAACCTTAGTGCTTATTTCTATACGGGCCACTCAGTTCACCAGAACACCCAATGACATCATCAAAGTCATTCAAACTGCAAATCAGGAAAATCCAACAGATTGAAACTGCCATCCTCACTCCACTATCTAAAGATGTTTTGAGCTCAAATCTAGAAATTTTCTTGACTGGCTGCTCTTCAGACTCAGAAACTGAGTTTGTAATTTGCTCCAACGATTAATTTTTATCCTTCTTTTGTTTCCATAGAAATGCCTGTTTGCTCACACCGTATAGGGGCCCAACTTAGATGGAAGCTCTCCTATAACACTCCCGAAATAAGACATCATCATGTTTATCCTAAGTAATCATAACATGATTCAACAGTGTGAGGCACTAATATATTAAAAAACTTACTTTCCACCAGGTCTAAGAAGCTTTCTGTGATCCATTCCAAAAAAAGACATTAGAACTTAGAGACTTAGTTTATTGGAAAAGACACCAACAAAAGACTGCTTTTAAATCACCTCAGAGAGATCTCTTCTGCAAAATCCCTACAATTACAGCAAAAATCTATAAACTCTCTAGCCAGAGTTATACTAGATAATTGCACAGCCTTAGACACCCTAACCACTTAATAAGGAGATGCATATGCTCCAACTGGTTAAAAAAAAAATTTCCATGTTAATAAATTAGGACTAATTACCCCCAATTTAAAAGATCTTAAAGATCAGATGTCACTCTTTCATCAAATAGGTGATACTTCTTTCACTGATTTATTTAGTTGGTTAAATCTTGGCTCCTGGGAATCTCTGCTTCCAGGAATTTTTCAATCCTTGTCTGTTACTTCCCTCATAGTCATCATATTAACCTTGCTAGTTGTAGGAGTGCCAACAACACTGACTCCATCTTTGGCCCTCCATTTTGTTTATGCTCATGCAATGACCTCCCTCAGGGCTACATGTTCCAGGCCACTTGGACGTTAATGTATGCCCTGACCAGAATGCGGGAAGGCTTACTCTGATCTTCCCTCAAGTGGCGTACGGAAGGCACACTCCAGATAACTAGGAGAGATGACTGGTGCATAAAAGGCGCCACTTTAGATAACCCCCCTTGGCTGCACCACAATGCCCCTTGCTCTATAAAAGCTGTAGCTTAAGGTTTGGACTGGGTGGAGAATAGCTGCATAGCACCTGGATCATTTATCCACTGGCTCCCCCTTGTCAGTAGGGTACATTGAATAAAGTCTGTGTAAACACTATGGAGTGGCTTACTTCATTTTTGGCTTTCCAAGTGCCTACTTGGTGTGGAGGATATTTTACTGTACCTCCCCCACCTTCTAACACTAGTGCACTGTATCCTCTCAAGAGTTTTAAATGCCTTTCAGCAGCCACTCACACACCAAATGATATCCATCAGGATTACACAACTCAAAGAACTCAATAATCCTACTGCCCATGCCTACAATGACTATGCAACTGTTTGTAATGGCAACTACATGACCATACAACCCAAAGACTACATCAACAGTGGTAGCGAGAGTAATAGCATATTGGCTCACACTTTCAGCTTGCTGAGGGAATGACCAAAAGGGGGTAATTTTTTAGATAAAATAAAATGGAGACCACGCTTGAAAATCCCCTAAGCAGACCAAACCAGTTAGATCATATAAGTAAACATAATCTGGTTTATTTCATGAATGTAAGTGAAATTTAACAAGTTATTTCTTGTAAATCCCTCTGATAATCATAAACAAAACTTAAATCATCTCCCTAAAATAGTGTAAGACAATTACTTTTAACCAATCCCTTGCAGTTCTTTAAACTGTGGTACCAATCATTGTAATAACCAATCACTGTAAAGGTTAAACAAACCTAGTCATTCTCAGTTTATAAGCCATCTTGCAAACACATGCCTCTGGGATTCTCGTTTCTCCCTCACGAAAATAAAGCTCCTTGAAATTTCTTTTGACACTAGGCATCCTTCTAAGGACTTTACATATGTTAAATTTATTCCTCACTATAACTCTATGAGATAGGTACTGTTGTTACACTAATTTGATAGGTCAAGAACTCAGGCACAGAGGTTAAATTACTCTCCATGGTCACACAGCTGGTGAATGGGACTGGGAGCTGAACCCTGTAATCGCAATCAAGCAATCAAGGAGCCGAGCTGCCTCGAAGAATCAGTATCTATCCCAGGTGGAACTTTGCTGAAGGCTTCTGAGAGCCACATCTAGTGTTTTGTTTTGTTCTACCAAGGCTTTCAGCTCCCGTCAGAAACAGGCCACTGCCAGGAATTGCCTGGGCATCAAGTTGTCAAGGCTGACTGAGAGTTCGGACACCCATCTGGGGGCGCCCACGGCGGACAGCGGGGCAAACCTGCCTAGCAGCCCACTTGACACAACTGTCCTCTAAGAGGAGACAACAAATCAGGAACTCAGAAACAGAAACACCAGCGGGGCCCTCTTCAGAGGTCCAGAGCTGGGAAGGGGCGGGGAGGGAGAGCAAGCACAGGGCTCGGCTGGGGCGGGGCGAAGGGGAGGCGGGGACCGGGTGGACTCACAGATCCAGAAGCTGACTGACCCGCCGCGAGCTAGGCATCGCGGCCGCCCAGGAGAGCCTCTTCCGTGGTCCCGGGGCCGCCCAAACGGAGCCAGAGACCGTCCGTCAACTCCTGCCCCCGCGCGACGCGTAGGCCCTCGTGACGTCACACGGCTTCTTCCGGTGACCGGGACGCAACCACGCTCGGGACTACGGAGGGAAAGAAGAGAAGGGAGGTGATAAAATGTAGAGTAGCCCTAAACTCGGTGAGGCGCGACGGGAGTTGTAGTTCCGCCACCTCGCGGGCTCCGTTTACGGGCGGTTTCCCAGGAGTTGAAGCCCCGCGCGCAGCCTAGCTGGGCACACCTCCCTCGGCGCTCTGCTTAGAAGCCGCTGCTCTTACTGCAGGGACGTATTTGATGCTGGTCCGTGCATTTGGCGACACGTACTGGAGACTCCCTTGGAAATGGACTCCATTAACGTGAAACGGAGCGTTTTAGAGCAACCAGGAGTGACCGCTGTTTACCGAGCATTTTCTCTGAAGCACGTACTGAGCTACGTGCTCTCAATTAACTACATTCGTTTAATCCTGTGAAGTCGTGATTATTTAGCCTTATTTTACAGATGAGGACACTACATGCCAACAAAAAAGCTCAGTAAGAATTTCATCATGGGGGGAGGGGCATCTGTTCAAATCAGAAAGGATTCTAAAGAAGGGGCACCCTTTCCCAGGTGGAATTCTTTCTCTTTGGTTATGCTGCAGAGTGCCGGCTATTTTTTAGTGTTTTTCGTTCTTCCTTGTGGATTGATTTGTTGTTTATGTGTCTGTCTTCCTTTTATAAGCTGAAAGTTGGAACCCAGTTTTGTTCTTTTCAGGATGCTGCTTATTCAGGCAATACACATTTATCAAGCACTGAAGGAGGGTAGAGAGAATGCTGGTGCTGAGGATTCAGTGGTGAACACATGCACCAGACCAGTAGAAGGACAATTAAATTGTTAAATGCTAAGATGAAGTTAATGCTATGCGAGCACCCATGGAGGAGTTGGGGGAGCAGTTCAGAGAGAAAACTGGTCTGTTAGGGACTGCAGACAATTCAGGGTGGTGGCTACAATGGAGTGGTGAGAGATGAATGTAGAGCAGGAGTTGGCAAACTTTCTATGGAGGGCCAGATAGTAAAGATTGTAGAGTTTTGTGGGCCATACTGTCTTGGTCACAGCTACTCAACTTGTAGCTCAAAAGAAGCCATAGACAATATGAATGAGTGGAGCTCTGTTCCAATAAAGTTTTCTTATTGAAGTTTGAATTTCATGTAATTTTCATTGTCATGAAATATTCATATTTTGGTTTTTCAACCATTTAAAACTTTACGTTGCAAACTACAAAAATGAGCAGTGGGCTGGATTTGGCCGGCTGGTGGTAGGTCTGTCCTCTTCTGATCAGAAAGCTAAAATGGGGCCTAATGATCTGTGTTAAACAATTTAGGCTTTGTCTGGAGGACTTTGGGTGGAGTCATAGGTAGGTTTTAAGCAAGGACAGGGCATGCATAGGAAAAATGAGATTTAGAAAGAACTCTAGCTGTGAAGTATTCAAAGAACTGTAGAGGTCACAGGTGGAGACCAGATAGGAGTCCTTTGATGATAGCCTGAGCTAAAGTAGTAACAATGGAATGGATAAACAGATTCAAGAGGTAATGGAAGTTGAACTGATAGGATTTAGAGATTGGTGGGGGTGAGGGAAAGTGAAGAGTCAAGATGAACTTTTAGACTTTGGGTTCGGAGAATTGGGTGGCATATGGTGGTGCCATTTATTGAGCTGAGAGGATTGCAAGAGTTTTCTGAAGAGAGAAGGAAAGTATTGTTGGACATGTGGCTTTTGAGGTATCTATGGAAAAATGTAGGCATGGAGCTATAGATCTGCAAATTGTGCTGGTTTGCTTTTTAAAGAAGAGATTGAATAGCAGTGATAATGCATGCATTTACTTATTGATAACAGTAATTTAGAAGAATCCTCTGCTGTTCTGGGAGCCATTTAGACCTTGGAAGACCATGGGAGAGTTTGACAGAGCAGATAAGGGTAGGACTTCATAGTCCTTCCTATCTGTTGAGTGCTGCACAGCTGTCCATCTGGGTCTTCCCACTGATCACTTGATTCTTCAAGGAAAATATAGGCCATTGCCCCATTATTATGAGATGTTCAGCTTTGGGTGCCAGTATTCTTCTCAGTAGTCAAAGGAAGTCATCACAACTGTTTTTTTTTTTTTAAGAAAATTATAATGAGATAAGATGACAAAGTCCTAGTTATTTCTAGCCAATCATTTTATTTTTAAATTTTTATTTATTTTTTTAAAAGATTTTATTCATTTATTTGACAGAGAGAGGGAGAGCACAAGCAGGCAGAGGGAGAGGGAGAAGCAAGCTCCCTGCTGAGCAGAGAGCCTGACATGGGGCTTGATCCCAGGGTCCTGGGATCATGACCTGAGCGGAAGGCAGACGCTTAACCAACTGAGCCACCCAGGTACTCCTCTAGCCAATTATTTTAAAGGTCAAAGATGTGTACATGATTATCACAATTCTTAGGACTATTTTTTTTTTCTTCAAAGATTCATTTATTTTGGAGAGAGCTAGTGGGCGGGTCAGAGGTACATAGAGTGAGAACAAATCCTTGGAGAGGTAGTTGAGAACAGCAATTGACACTGAGAAGAAACAGCCAAAGAGGTAGGGAAAAAAAACAGTGGGGTGCTACAGAAGATAATCATGACCCAAACTGTCACATGCTGAAGAGAAATCAAGTAAGATAACACCTGAAGGTGGTTTAGCCAGAAGAAGGTCATCAAGGGTCTTTGAGGTGGTGATGGAGGATGCAGTCTGATTGTAATGTCAAGAATGAATGGGAAGTAAGGAAATGAACACACAAGTAGCCCAACTCTCATTTACAATACATACTTGTTCAAATGAATTGCTGTTTCTATTAAGACTCATATTGAGAAGGAAAGGAGATTGTAAAAGTGTATAGCTCTACTTTGTGGAAGGTAAAATGGGATAACTCAGAACTGTTATTTACGGACCTTCTAGGTGTCAAACATGGTAAATACTTAACAGGATCTCATGTAGTCATCAATCGAGTCTGAAATATGCTATCTTATAGATGAACGTGAGGTTTACCTAAATAAATAGGTCTGTCAGATTCCAAAGACCATGCTGTTTCTACTTTCTTTGGGTGTTCAGGAGAGAGGTTTATGGTACATCTAAGATCATCAATATAACTTGCAAAGCCCCCTTTCAAAAAGTTATTAGATTTTTCAAGATGGTGATAGCAGAGCATTAAACCAAGGCAGGACCTTGGTTTAACAGCACCAGTGGTCCACCCATGAAGCCGGCCTTGGTGTATGCAGGACTTCCCAAGAAAATCAGTTTCAGCTAGTGACTATTCAGTAACTTTGTCAAAATAAAATTCAGAGACAAATGTGAACACCGGGAAACTTTTAAAAAAATCCAAGTACAGTTGACATATGATATATTAGTTTCAGGTGTACAACATGGTGATTCGACAGTTACATATATTATGAAATGCTCATCATGATAAAGTATAGTTACCATCTGTCACCATACCAAGTGATAATATTATCCACTATATTCTCTATGCAGTACTTTTCATCCCTGTGGCTTATTTCTTTTGTAACTGCAGGTTTGTACCCCTTCATCCCCTTTACCTATTTTGCCTTTTAGGAAAACATTTTCACTCGCAGGTCAGAAGTAGTGGCTCATCCCGTAGAAAGGACGCATTTATAGCTCTGATGATAAGGCAGATATTTATAGCTCAGATATGGCAGCTGACAGTTCAGATTGGATAAGAACAAGATGTTCCTGTCTTTTTGTAAGGAAAACAGGATGTTCTTATTTTTGTGGCTTATCTCAAGAGGCAAAGCTTTCAGGATTTCCTGTTAGTCAATGCTTTTAGGAGTTTCCTGTTATTCATGGTTTATCTTGGAATGCAAGGTTATTAGGAATAAAAGTCTTTTCTGGTGCATGGTAAGTGATTTGTGGATAGCGCCAGGCTAAGGGCAAGATGTCGTGTTCCCATTCTCCCCTCTTTGCTTGCTGTACCCACTTTATTGTAGTTTCCTCTAGCTCGGAACCTCCTCCATTTCCTATCCTAGCTACCATATAAAAAAAACTTATAGTTTTGTTTTTCTGGGCAGGTTATATAAGAATAATAAGCAACATTACTTACCTTAAATCATGCTATTTATTCCTAGTGTGTTTGTGTATGTGTAGAAAAATACATAATAAATGTCTACAGATAAAATGATGAAGTATATCTTATGCAATATATGTATATGTATGTATATATATACACACACAAAATTGACCCTTGGACAAAATGGGTTTGAACTGCCAGGTCTACTTATATGGATTTTTTTTAGTACAGTACTGCAAATGTATTTCCTCTTATGATTTTCTTTCTTTCTTTCTTTTTTTAAAGATTTTATTTATTTACTTGGCAGAGAGAGAGAGCGAGAGAGGTAATACAAGCAGGGGGAGTGGGAGAGGGAGAAGCAGGCTTCCCACCGAGCAGCGAGCCCGATGCAGGGCTCGATCCCAGGACCCTGGGATCATGACCTGAGCTGAAGGCAGTCGCTTAACCAACTGAGCCACCCAGGCGCCCCATCTCTTATGATTTTCTTCTCTCTAGCTTACTTTATTGTAAGAAAATAGTATAAAATATATATAACATACAAAATATGTGTTGACTTTATGTTTTGGTAAGGCTTCCTTAACAGTAGACTATTAATAATTAAGTTTTGGAGGAGTCAGAAGTTATATGTGGATTTTCGACTGTGTAGCGGTTTGGGCCCCCTAGGTCAACTATGTGAGTGTGTGTGTGTAATGAATCTTGGGTCATTTATTAAGAATGTGCGTGCATACAAGTAGAGAGCAATAAATTGTTCAGATCATCTTTACATGTCATATCTCAAAATATAAGAACAGGCTATGAGTTAGGTTCTTCACTTTTAAACCATACTGCTTATATTTAGATTCACAATAGCAATTTCTCTTCTTTTTTTTTTTTTTTTTAAGATTTATTTATTTATTTGAGAGAGAGAGAGTGAGAGTGTGTGTGAGTGAGCAGGGGCTTGGGGGCAGAGGGAGAGAGAGAGAGAGAATCCCAAGCAGACTCTCTGCTAAGTGTGGAGCCTGACACGGGGTGCGATCCCAGGACCCCAAGATCATGACCTGAGCCAAAATCAAGAGTCAGATGCTTAACCAACTGAGCCACCCGGGCGCCCCAGCAATTGCTCTTCTAATATTAATTTTCAGCTCAGTATAACCTATACATTATCATCTACTACTGACCCCAAATCATTTCATTTGGGTATTGTTAGTGTCCAGACTAGGTGCGAGATGGAACCACTTATGCTAAGCCCACATCAGCAAACTGGAATTTAAGTTTCTATGCTTGGCTGTTCCAGAAAAAGCAGGCCTTGGCCAACCAATCAGTGCTTGCCTGCCCAGCACAAGTCATCTGCCCTGGCTCTAAGACTCTCCTTTGCTCCATAGAGGGAAGTAATCCTGCTTTAACCAATCAGCAAATGCCGAGTATAACTTCCTTGTTCCTTCTCACTTTGGTCTGTAAACATTTCTTGCCTTGTATGGCTCTTTAGAGCTCTTTTCTATCTGCTAGACGAGATGTTGCTCCATTTATGAATTGCTGAATAAAACCTACTAGATCAGTAAATTGTGGAAAATTTTCTGTTAACAGCATCAAGGATAATTGTGAGCACTTATAGAGTAGTTAGAATAATACCTTGCACACAGTGAGTATCTTACAACTTCTAACTCATTTAACTGTTAAAGAAACCCTCACTGATAGATATTTTTACTGTTATCATACCCATTTTCCAGACAAGGAAACTGAGGCCCAAAGATATTAAGAAACATGCCCAAGTTCATGTGGCTAGTCAGTGGTAGAGCTGGGATTTGAAGCCAAACAGTTAGGCTGCAGAGCTGGGTTCTTAAACAATACTATATGGTTGCCCCTACAACGTTTAAAATAAAAACTCTTGATAGTTCTTGATAATCATAAAATACAGTTATCAGAGATTTAAAACTAAAGGATATCTTAGCTATGATTTATTCCAACATCTTAATTTTGCAGTTTAGGCAACTGTGTTTCAGAAAAGTTCACTGATTTCTCAAGATTTCTGAGCAAAGATGGGACTAGAATATATTTACCAATCCCATGTCCAGTACATTTTCTAAACCTAATCTTTAGGTTATAACTCTGAAGGGGGCTGAAAACAAACAGAATAAAGAGAAGCCAAATGAGTGACTATTATCCTACTATGTGTGGGTTATTTCCAAGTGGGAATGTCCTTAATTCGTTTCAATGTGAAAATAACACATGTTCTTTTTATTTAATTTCTTTTTATATCTCATATCATGTCTTACTCCAAATTGGAAAAAACAGTGCCCATGCTCATGAATTCTTGTGCATTGTTAAAATTTTCCATTGATTAAACCCTTATTTAATTTGAGGCATAAAATGTATGACTCAGGATTGTTGCAGGAAATAGCTGGGCAAGTTCAAACAGGTTAGGCAAGGAGATATTAATAAAGAGGCTGTTTATAAAGGTGTGGGCAGAATTAAAGGAAAGCAGGGGTAAGGGTGGTTTAATACCCTTAGACTAGCAATAGCAGGAAGCCCTTACCTCTCCTAGTCCTGAAAGCTGGGAAGGGAACAGTTACCAAAACCAGGAGAGAGTGGCCGTAGGTGAGGCCACCTAGAAGGAGCTATGGCTTTTGGGTCAGTAAAGGAACATAGTCCACCTGTGGCAACCCAGCTGGGAGGGATCCTGGAAGAATAAATATTCTAAACCCATTCTCCATCCCTTTTTGATTTCCTGGTGCCTCTGCTTAGAGTTTCAACCCACCCAGAAGTTAGAGGTAAAGAAATCCCAGTTTGTGCAGTCCATAAAAATCAGCCTCTTAAAGCCCAAAGTAGAGAAGGATAGAGTGGAAAATAACCAATTCATAAGCCACTGGTTTTTAGATAAAATAATTAAATATCATGAACATTTTGAAAATTAATAAGAGTAATAGCTCAGCGGGGTGCCTGGGTGGCTCAGTTGTTAAGCGTCTGCCTTCGGCTCAGGTCATGATCTCAGGGTCCTGGGATCGAGCCTCTCATTGGGCTCCCTGCTCTGCAGGAGACCTGTTTCTCCCTCTCCCAATCCCCCTGCTTGTGTTCCCTCTTTCGCTCTCTGTCAAATAAATAAATAAAATCTTAAAAAAAAAAAAAGAGTAATAACTCAGTCTGAGCCAAAGTAGTAATTATTATAGTTTTATAACTGAGAGGGATGGCAATTGTGGTCTTTCATCAAGATTCTGAGAGCCTGAGCAATGACAGCTTAAGCCCTGTCTTTTTCTAGTTAGCTTCATTGGTTATTTTTATTTTTATAAAGTTATGCAATTCCTAACTCACATTTATTGGTCATGTGCAGTGGAATCAAATGCCTGGCATTTCTGTTGGATAGACTTTAAAAATCCATTAATAACAGTTATTCAAATAAGTATTTAATGCCTATTATGTGCCAGACAGGATATATCAATAAATAAACATGTCCTCTTAGAGTTTACATTTTAGTGTGAGAGTGAGAAAACAAGCATACAAACAAAAAAATATGTGGAGATAAGGACTATAAGAACAAGATAGGATGGTGGACAAAGGGGTACTAAGGAGAAAGGGAGAAGGAGGCGGAGAGACAGAGAGGGATTAGTTTTGCTCTGGTGGTCAAGGAAGACATCTTTAAGGCTGTAGCATTTTTGCTCAGACTTGTTAAAAGATAAACAATTTTAAGTTTATTCGAGCAAAAATTGATTGGAATTAGGTGCTGCCAAACCAAATGTAGCTATGATCACTGAGCCAACAGAATTCAGGGGAAAGACTTATATACACCAAGTGCAGAAGCAGAGAAAGGAAAGTATTTGATTGGCCATATATTGAAGTCTAGTTGGCTTTTTGTGATTGGTTATCCTTAGCGTTTTGATATTGGAACCTTGAGCCATTTATAGGCTTAGATTTTGGTTTGCACATGTTGGCCACTATAGCATTAGAGCTACCTCAATCTAATGGCCTCCTTGTTTAATTAATTTAACAGACTTGAAGCATAAAAGGAGCTAACCATGCAGAGATCTGGAGATGGAAGAGAAAGGCTCTGAAGCAGAAAATGTGCTTGCTAAAGTTGGAAGGACGGAAGAAGCAGGTGGAAGGAGCCCCAGGGAAAGAGAAGAACTGTGGTGGTAGTAAGCAGCACGTGCATTCATAGGACCTTCATGCCTGGAACTCTGAAGATTTTAATCCTGGGTTGCTGTCATGGTGGTGATGAGTCTCAGAACCTGAGACTCTTAAATCTCAGAACCATGGAGCCTGCATGTGGCTAAGAGCTTGGGCTCTACCCTCAGAGTCTGAACCCTTATTTTTGTCTAAGGTGAGTGTAATATTGTGATTTATAATAATAATAAAAATATATATTTGATATATATGTTTGTGATTTATAATAATACAATACATATATACACATATAGATAAAATATGTTTGTGATTTATAATAAAATACATATATATACACACACACACACGTGTGTGTGTGTGTGTATATATATATGGTCTTCATCTTGCTTCTGGTACAGAGCTCTTAAAACTCTTGGAATTTCCTAAGAGCAATGGGAGCAGCTTTTGTTTGTTATAGTATTTGGTCTTTTCTCCTTGGTTCCTGAAATAGCTCCAGAGCCTTAAAAGTGAAAGGAATATGTCATGTTATTCATAACAAGCCCCTTTCAACCACACCTGAATTTATGTTAATGCAGTGACTTTTGGAAAGCCCGTAAGGATGGGGGCTAGTTGCCAGGGGAACTAACCTGATTAGAAGGTTGGAACTTTCAATGCCACCCTCCATCTCGGGAGGGGAGAGGGGCTGGAGGTTAAATCAATCACCAATGGCCAGTGATTTAGCCAATCATGCCTGCATATGAAACCTCCATAAAAACTCAAAAGAACAGGTTTGGAGAGCTTCTGGATTGGTGAACACATGGAGATTTGGGGAGGGTGGTGCACCCAGAGAGAACATGGAAGCTCCATGCTCCTTCTCCCAAAACGTACCCTATGCATTTCTTACATCTGGCTATTCTGAGTTATATTCTTTTATGATAAATTGGTAATCTAGTAAGTAAAATGTTTTCCTGAGTTCTGTGAGCTGCTCTACCAAAGTAATTGAACCCAAGAGGGGGTTCATGGGAATTTCCTTTTTTTTTTTTTTTAAAGATTTTATTTATTAAAATGAGAGAGAGAGAGCACATGAGAGGGGGGAGGGTCAGAGGGAGAAGCAGGCTTCCCACTGAGCAGGGAGCCCGATGCGGTACTCGATCCTGGGACTCCAGGATCATGACCTGAGCCGAAGGCAGTCGCTTAACCAACTGAGCCACCCAGGCGCCCGGGAATTTCCATTTTAGAGCCAGTAGGTCAGAAGCATAGGTGACAACCTGGACTTGTGATTGGCATCAGATGTGAGTGTGGGAGGGGATTTGTGAGCCTTTAACCTGTGGGATCTGGTGCTGTCTCCAGGTAGATAGTGTCAGAACTGAGTTAAATTGTAGGACACCCAGCTGGTGCTGCAGAATTGCCTGATGTGTAGATAACCCAGACATCTGGTGTCAGAAATGAAGTAGTGTACAGATGGTCCCCAACTTAAAATGGTTCAATTTATGATTTTTCGACATTATGGTGGTGTGAAAGCAATATGCATTCAGTAGAAACTGTACCTCAAGTTTTGAATTTTGTTCTTTTCCCAGGCTAGCAGTATGTGACACCATCTCTTTTGTGATGCTGGACAGTGGCGATGGGCCACAGCTCCCAGTCAGCCACGATTACAAAGGTAAACAACTGATAAACTTACAACCAGCCATTCTGTTTTTCACTTTCAGCACAGTGTTCAATAAATTACATAGATATTCAACACTTTATTATAGAATAGGCTTTGTGTTAGATGATTTTGCCCATCTATAGGCTAACGTAAGGGTTCTGGGCATGTTTAAGGCAGGCTCGGCCAAGCTATGATGTTCGGTAAGTTAGGTGTATTAAATGCATCTTCAACTCATGACATTTTCAACTCACCATAGCTTTGTCAGGATGTAACCCCATAATAAGTTGAGGAAGTTATATAGCAGTGGAATATTGAGAGTAGAGGAGAAACACATGGAAGTGAGCTTTCCTTGGACTGAGTCACTTAACTCTTCGGTAATTCAATTTCTTCACTTGTAAAATAGGGGTAGTAATACAGTATCTTATCCAAAATCCATGAGGACAATGTGTCTGAGAATTTCTAAATTTCAGGGTCTTAGAATGCTATCATGATGTGAATACCAGATACCATGAGACACCCCCATGGGGCTCTAGGGCAAATCAAACATTAATATTTCTGCATTGAAAATATTATGGTGGACAGACTCTTAAAGTGGTCCCACAATTCCCACTTCCTGGTGTTCACTCCCTTATGTGATCCTGTCCCTTCAAGTATGGGCAAGACTTGTGCTTGCTTCTAACTGAAAATTTGGTAAAGATAATAGGATGTCTGTGATTATATGCACATGATTATGTGATTATGTCACATACGATTGTAGTATCCATCTTGCTGGAGTCTCAGTCTTTCTTCCTCCTACCCTTCATTCTTGCTGGCTTTGAGGAAGCAAATGACCGTGGTAGGGGATGCCACACAGCAATGAATATGGATGGGCAGCCTCTAAGAGCTGAGGGCAGCCTCTGGCTGACAGGCAGCAAACAAAACAAAACACACACACACAAAAACAAAAACCGAACTGAAGCCCTCAGTCCTATCACCTCAAGGAACTGAATTCTGCCAATAACATGAGTGAGCTTGGAAGTGGATCTTTCCCCATTTGAACCCAGGGGAGACTGCAGCCCCAGCTAACACCTTGATTGAAGCCTTGTGAGACCCTAAGCAGAGGACCTGGTTTGGACTTAGAGATAGGGATGCCTGGGTGGCTCAGATGCCTTCGGCTCAGGTCATGATCCCAGGGTCCTGGGATCGAGTCCCGCATTGGGCTCCTTGCTCAGCTGGGAGCCTGCTTCTCCCTCTCCTGCTGTTCCCCCTGCTTGTGCGCTTGCTCTTTCTCTCTCTTTCTGACAAATAAATAAATAAAATCTTAAAAAAAAAGAAAAGAAACTTAGAGATAGTAAATGTCTGTTGGTTTAAGTCACTAAGTTTGTAGTAATATTGTTACACAGCAATAGTAAACTAATAAATGTATGGATATTCATACCTTTTTTCCTGATTTTTAAAATTTATAAATAAAAAACATTATAAGTAACCTAAGACTGATGAATCACAGACCTGTACCTCTGAAACAAATAATACATTATATGTTAAAAAAAAAAAGACAGTAGGAAGGGAAAAATGAAGGGGGGAAAATCGGACGGGGAGACAAACCATGAGACACTATGGACTCTGAGAAACAAACTGAGGGTCCTAGAGGGGAGGGAGGTGGGAGGATGGGTTAGCCTGGTGATGGGTATTAAAGAGGGCACGTTCTGCATGGAGCACTGGGTGTTATACACAAACAATGAATCATGGAACACTACATCAAAAACTAATGATGTAATGTGTGGTGACTAACATGACATAATAATAAAATTAAAAAAAAAACATTATAAGTAATCTAAAGAGCCTCACATCTCTTCAAGACAAATTTTGCCACCAGAAGCATTTGGGCAGCAAATACAGGAAAAGACTGTTGGTTTTCAGTCTTTTGGGCTTCCAAATTAAGATAAGGAATTGTAGACTTGTATCATATAACCTTATAAGGTTGCTGGGGGATGGAAAAAAATACTATGTGTTAAGGGGTTTGGAATAGGATTTAGCATATAGGAAGTACTCCATAACTATTGGCCATAATTATGATTAGAATCAGAGCTCCTGGGGCAGGTCAGCCTCTCTGCTGCTATTCTTTGCAAGTTACTTCTCAGTTTCCCTATCTCTAACAGGAAGGCCTCTCAGAGGACCCCAGAGTTGGGGGAATAACTCCTGTTTATTGAGTCCCTATTCTGGGGAGACTTGGGCTGGGTGCTCAGTGAGCTGTAATGTGAACTGCTTCTGAGTGAAAGGCGTATGGTCTACTTGTGGCCTTACTGCTGAAGAGGTGCACAACCCTAGGGAAGTGGCTTCTTGCTGAGTCTTAATTTCTTGATCTGTCAGATGGGGCTGGCTGATCCCTCCCACCTCATTATGTGAGAGGAGAGGTATGACAAGTGTACCCATTCTAGACTGAAGGATTATTTTCGTTTTTAATGTCATTTGAGGGGAAGAACATATGCAAGGATCTGCCTGATCTTTCCTTATATACACGAAGAAAATGCTCCCAACCCTAATACTAAATAAACCCCACCTCCACCCCGCACAGAAAACAGAGGAGTGGCTCCTTGTCTTTTGCTTGGTCTTCTGTGCAGTTGGAGTGAGGACTGCAGGTTTCCACCTGCCCCACCACCATACCCACCCTCTGCATCTCTTATTTCTTATGCAATAATGACCTGTGTCATTACTCATTACCCAGCTCCCTCACTAGACTATAGGTTCATGAGGGCAGCCCAGTGCCCTGCATGCACCTCAATAAACATGGAATCAACGAAAACAGGAAGAGGAGTAAAGAGATTATTACTAGGTAAACAGGAGGGTGAGACACTTCAACCAGCACACTTACTGATGAAAGCCCCAGGGATGGTCAGAGTAGTCAAATTTGGATATATTTTGAAGGTTGAACCAATAGACTTGCTGAAGGATTGGAAGTGAGGGAAAGAGAGAAATCAAGGCATTGTTCATTCATTCATGTTTAACTAATAATTATTGGCTATTGACTAGATACTAGGTACTATTTAAGATGCTTTAGGTACAGCAGCAAATAAGAGAAGGTCCCTGATGTTTTTATGTTCTAATTGATGGAGACAAGCAATAAACAAACCAGATATTACACAGAATGTTAAGTACTAAGAAGAAAATAAAAGAGGGCAATGTAACAGGTTATGAGGTAGAATATATTTGGCTGAAAACCCAACTCAAAATGGCTTTAGCATTAAGATTTTTATCTCATTGGAAAAGTCAGAGTAGGATTGTTCCATGATTGGTTACTCGGTGACTCAATGGCATCATGACTCCAGCTTAGCATTTCTGTGATTCTCAAGTTTTCTTCTCATGCTTGTAAGATGACCCTACAGTTCTAAGCAATATATCCTCCCACTAAGGTATAGGCAGGGAAAATCTATTTTTTTTCTCACATCTCTCTCTTTTTGAAATCTAAATTTAATTAGCCAACATATGGCAGATTTAGTGTTCAATAATTTATCAGTTGTATATAACACTCAGTGCTCGTCATATCACGTGCCTTCCTTAATGCCCATCACCCAGTTACCCCATCCTCCCACCCACCTCCCCTACAGCAAATTTCAGTTGGTTTCCTATAGTTAAGAGTCTCTCATGTTTTTTTCCCTCTCCGATGACTTCCCATTCAGTTTTCCCTCTCTTCCCCTATGATCCTCTGTGCTATTTCTTATATTCCACATATGAGTGAAACCCTATGATAATTGTCTTTTTCTGAGTTATTTTGCTCAGCATAATACCCTCCAGTTCCATCCATGTCCATGTAAATAGTAAGTATTCATCCTTTCTAATGGCTGACTAATACTCCATTGTATATATATATACCACGTCTTCTTTATCCATTCATCTTTCGATGGACATCGCGACTCTTTCCACAGTTTGGCTATTATGGACATTGCTGCTATGAGCATTGGGGTGCAGGTGCCCCTTCGGATCACTACATTTATATCTTTGGGGTACATACCTAGTAGTGCAATTGCTGGGTCATAGGGTAGCTCTATTTTTAACTTCTTTTTTTTTTTTTTTTAAGATTTTATTTATTTATTTGACAGAGAGAGAGTGAGAGCACAGTCCGGGAGACAGAGAGAGAGGGAGAAGCAGGCTCTCTGCTGAGCAGGGAGCCCAATGCGGGGCTCGAAGCCAGGACCCTGGCATCATGACCTGAGCCGAAGGCAGACGCTTAACCAACTGAGCCACTCAGGCACCCCTATTTTTAACTTCTTGAGGAACCTCCATACCATTTTCCACAGTGGCTGCACCAGCTTGCATTCCCACCAACAGTGTAAGAGGGTTCCCCTTTCTTCATATCCTTGCCAACATGTGTTGTTTCCTGACTTGTTAATTTTAGCCATTCTGACCATGTGAGGTGGTATCTCATTGTGGTTTTGATTTGTATTTCCCTGATGCCAAGTGATGTGGAGCATTTTTTCATGTGTCTGTTGGCCATTTGTATGTCTTCTTTGGAGAAATGTCTGTTCATGTCTTCTGCCCATTTCTAGACTGGATTATTTGTTTTTTGGGTGTTGAGTTTGATAAGTTCTTTATAGATCTTGGATACTAGTTCTTTTTTTTTTTTTTTTTTGGATACTAGTTCTTTATCTGATATGTCATTTGCAAACATCTTCTCACATTTTGTAGGTTGCCTTTTAGTTTTGTTGACTGTTTCCTTTGTTGTGCAGAAGGATTTTATCTTGATGAAGCCCCAATAGTTCATTTTTGCTTTTGTTTCCCTTGCCTTTGGAGATGTGTCTAGCAAGAAGTTGCTATGGCCAAGGTCACAGAGTTGCTGCCTGTGTTCTCCTCTAGGATTTTGATGGATTTCTATCTCAGATTTAGGTCTTTCATCCATTTTCAGTTTATCTTTGTGTTGGTGTAAGAAAATAGTCCAGTTTCATTCTTCTACATGTGGCTGTCCAGTTTTCCCAGCACCATTTATTAAAGGGACAGTCCCTTTTCCCATTGGATACTTTCCTGTTTTGTTGAAGGTTAGTTGACCATAGAGT